TTCTATCAGTTTGAGGTAGAGACCATCTATTCCAAGTTTTTTGTAGGGTTTTTATCATAAATGCATATTGGATTTTGTCAGATGTTTTTTCTCTGTCTATGGAGATAATCATATGGTTTTTGTCCTTGGCTCTATTGATATAGTGTATTACATTGATTGATTTGCACATGTTGAACCATCCCTCCATCCCTGGGATGAATCCCACTTGATCAGGGTGTATGATCTTCTCAATGATCTTCTGCATTCTATTTGCCAGTATCTTAGTACAGATTTTTGCATGTATGTTCATTAGTGAGATTGGCCTATGGTTCTCTTTTTCAGTTGGGTCTTTCTCTGCTTTGGGGATCAAGGTGAATTCACTAGCTTTTATACCCAAATTCTGTGAAAGATATTTTTGAGCTTTCAAATGAAGTATTAGGAAAGAAGTACCATTGAAGAAAAAGGCAGAAGTCCATTAGAGGGTCTTTCCAAAGCAGTCAGAGTCTTGTTTTTTGTTTTTTAAATATAGATGTGGCAAAAACATCTTGAAGCGGCATTTTATCTGTCCATGCAAACCTGTCTTAGACCCACAGCACTGAGGATCTGTGACACAGGCAGCATCCATGCTGACAGAATCACCTTCACCACTGAGGGGCTGTTGGAGCAGCATCCAGCTCCCTGGCCTGAGGTCTTAAGCCTAGCCCAGATATGGTGTCAGTGGGTCATTCTACAAAGTCATGACTGGACATAACTAACATCTATAAAATTACTTAATTCAGCAGTAATTTAAGCTACTGTATAAAATATTTTTAAAAGGAAAAAAACAGGGAAGATAAGAAATTTGTGTAGCCTGCCTGTGAAGTCTAGACAGCATTCTTTCTTTATATCACTTAATCTTTATTTTTCAGAGAGGTGACCCCATAAGAAATGTACAGGTGTTGTAACGCAGTCAGTTAGAGTGAACAACTGTCCCGGGTTGCCCAGCGTGGAGAGGATCTCCCCATATATGACTCCTGGAGTTAGCACTGGAAGTTTGTCACCCATCAGTTGGAACCCGGAAGAGACTGAAGCCAATGAGCTGCTGCGGGGGCATCCCTGGAGGAAGCCCAGAGTCCCCTCAGTCCCAGCCCTTGGCTGGGAACGACGGCCACACCCTCAGAAATCCCTCACCCCAGCCCTAACCCTGACAAAAGCCCTGGGCTGCACTCCCTGAGGGCAAAGCCTCTTCCTAGAGGCCTCTCCCAAGGCCTCGCCCGGCCTAGAGCGGAGCTCCAGCCTTCCAAGGCAGGCCCAAAGCTGTTCCTCCAGGTGAAGCCACCACCTCGGGTAGGGTGTGCCAGTGCTCCACCTGAGCAGCGGGTCGGCTCTGCCCGCAAGGAGCCCGAGCTGACCGACCGAGGGCTCGCTGGACCCTGGCTGAGGCCGCAGCCGGCCCCTGCCCACCACACCCAAGGCCCGGGCTGCATCTGCTGGGCCCGGGGCTGTTGCCTGTTGCCGGGCTGGAGCTCGCGAGGGAGGCACCCCCGCCGCCGGGCTCCTCTCTGCTCTTCCCTGGCTCCCTGGCGAGGGGAGAGTTCGCCCACTCGTAGAAAATACCGGGTAACGCACTTCTCGGAAACTGGGCAGGAAGCAAAATTAAAACTGAGTTGAAAACAGTTTTGCATGAGGAAAGGAAAATACTGATGTGATAGGAGATGACAGTGCTCTCGCTGAATGTTACTACTTCGGGGGAAAGGGTCCCCTCATGGATCTTGGCCATCCCCGTGTCTGAGCAGCTTGCCTCTCGCTGGCGTCAGACCGGGCGTTGATGCTGGGCTGTGCCCTCTCCTCCTGGAGAGCAGCAGGCGGGGCAGCTCCGCCCGGTGCACACAGGCCGACTTGGGTAGAAAGAGCCTGAGGGACCACTGGCTCAAGCACTGTTGGCCGCTTCTCGCGCACGACACAGGCTCCACACTCCGGGCTCTGTGGAGGGAACGCACGGCCGGGAAGGAACTCGGGCCCTTCTCGGCCAGGGGGACTTCTGGTGGTGTCAGCACGGGGCCCTCGCCAGCAGCACCCATAAAAGCTGCCAGTCTCCAGTGGAAGCCGCAGGGCTTCTCGCCAAACTGGAGTGGGCTGTGGGAGCTCGGCCGGCCGGCACCAGGCTGCTGTTAGGAAGGCGCTGACGCTTCCCTGCGTTTGCTTTGGTCCCAGGAGAAAACAAACTGGTGGGGGACCTGCTGGTGCTGGGAGGGGCTACGCTCTACGGCATCTCCAACGTCTGGGAGGAGCACGTCGTCCGGACCCTCGGCCGAGTGGAGTTCCTGGGCATGGTCGGGCTCTTCGGCGCCTTCTTCAGTGGCATCCAGCTGTGAGTAACCGCACGGAAGTCCCCGCGAAGAGTGGCAGGACTTGTACGGCGCTGGCCTCAGGGGTAGCTAGGCGGAGAGCAGCCAGCAGCCTCCCACAGAGCTCTTACAGAATCTGCAGATTTATTGGTCAATTCCTCTCAACTAAACAAGTGTATTATAAATTATTATAGAACATTGAATGGGCCTGGAAGATCATCTGTGAGAACGCCTCAAAAGTACATCCATCCTCCCAAACCAGTGAGCGAGTTATTACGTAGAGAAGCAGAAAAATTAAGCATGAATGTCACAATTCAATGCACTTCCAAAAAGAGACGTCCTATTCACTAGTGACAGCTGCTAGGAAACTCACCATTTAAAACTGCCCCGTTAAAAATCTGTTCTTCTGTTGCCCCTGGTGAACAGGAATGAGCCACATTTCAAATTCATTTCTTAGAATTTTGGATTTCCATTTTCTTAAAAGGATAAAGATATAACACAACATTTACAAAGGATCAAAAAGCCAAAAGCACCAGTTTTGCAGTGATTCCAGAGCAAATAAGTCATCACTTGAGAGGTCACTTAGTGTCTGGACATTCATTGTTGGAATAAGGACCAAAGGAAGGGTAATTTTCTATCAGCAAAGGGTGGATCTTGGGTCCAAGTAAGGGATAAAGAATGAGAGTCAACCTCCAGCCTAATGTAACCAACTCCTTTTCCACGGAGAAGTGATTTTGAGTTCACCTCATTCCTTTCTACAAAGTACACACTTTGTAATTGTGTTGGTCCAGTGTCTGAAATTATTTATAGACCACGTTTTGGGATCACCTTAAACATATTTGTCATTTAGTCTGTTTCCAGCAATCCTCTGAGTTTTGGTGACCCAAGATACTGGTAAAACAAGCAAACAAACCAAAAAATCCTCTATAACAAGCCAGGCACCCTGGTGTGCACCTGTGATCCCAGCACTCTGGGAGGACTGCAAGTTCAAGTCCAGCCTGGGCAACTAAGTAAGTTAGCAAGATCCTGTTTCAAAAAATAGATAGGGCTGGAGATGTAGCTCAGTGTGGATTCAGTCTCTAGAGTGCCACCAACAAAGAAAAAGAAAAAACTTCATAGCAAAAAAGACACAAAAATGGAAAGACTCCAGGGAGGACTTACTGGGTATGATTTGAAAGTGCCATGGCTTGGTGAGGGAGAAGGAATCACCCCGTGTGGTTTGGCGTAGCAGCCTTTTGTAGACGGACAGAGCTTTTATGCTTATCATTCCTGAGTCCAAGGTGCCTGTTTGGGAGTCCAGTGCTCATTTGCTTCCGTTACAGCCCATTATCCTGGGCTGAGCCCCCTGGGACGCTGCTGCCAGGCCGTTGGCAGATGGGGACCTCGGGATACAAGGGGCCACAGCGTAGGTTGGGGCAGGGCCAAGCTCACCCACCCGTGCACAGCAGGGTCTCACGGTGCAGCAGCACCCCCACACCCCCCGTGGGGACTGGCGCTGCTGCCCCTCCAGCTCCCCAGCCAGAGCTGCTGGCCAAGGCCAGGACAGGTACTTCCCGCCCTTGCCAGGGGCCACCGGCTGCGCTCACCTGTGAGCAGCACTGCGGGAGTGGACCCCACAGGAAGGTGGGCCCAAAACCCCGTGCCTCCGCCCTGCTCCTAGGAGGGGTCTGGGCAGAGCGGCCAGCAAGGTCCTGTAGGGCCTGCCGTGCCCGCTGCCAGCTCACCCGGCAAGGCCCCCATGCACCACGCTGCCTCCGTGTGCCCAAGGCTGTGTGTGAAATCCCCCCGCTGGCAGCTTTCCCTTGCGTAAATGGTGGAAGGGGCGCCAAGTGCAGGTGCTCTGCTCACCAGCCCACTTTCTCTGACCCTGCAGAGCCATCATGGAGCACAGGGAGCTGCTGAAGGTGCCCTGGGACTGGCAAATAGGTAAGAGGTCTGCTGGCCCAAGCGCTGTGCAGTCGGCGTCGTGGGGTGGTGTGCGGAGCACAGAGGCGCTGGGAAGGGGGCAGTGGCTGGACTGCGCCTGGCAGGAGACAGAAAGATGCCCGTGTCACCTCAGGGACCCCTCAGCCACCAGGGCCTGGGCCGAGGGCCCCTCGCACTTTCCCCATGAGCGTCTGCCCAGAGCACTGCCCGGTGCCACACAGCAGACTCAGAGGTGTGCCATCAGGCTGCAGAGCCAGAAAAGCCAAATGCTTCTGGCCGACGCTAGTGCAGAGGGCGGCAGTGGGCTTTGGCCCCAAAACACAATACCGATGTGACCCTTAAAAAGCGTCCTTTGGGCCAGGGATTTAGCTCAGTGGTTCCGCTGCCTGCCTCGAAAGTGCAAGGACCTGAGTTCGATCCCCGGTACCAAAAAAAAAAAGCGTCCTTTTAGTAAAGAGGGAAAATGGGGCTTAATAAAGGCTTGAGAGGGAACGATATATTCTGAGTGCCTGAGCAGCTTGGAAAGGGAGCCGTGGCAGGTGGGCTCATCTCCCAGTGGGCTTAGCAAAGGCCACGCCCGCCTGGAGCCAGTGAGCCATCCCCGGGCACCTTACACGCCACTGTGCCTAACGTCACTTCCCTCCGTGACTGTGGGACCGGTGTGGAATGACCCAAAGGGCTGCCGTTGGTACTCGAGGGATCCCCACAGGCTCTTCCTGAGGTGCAGGGTCCCAGCGTGACACGGGGCTGGGCTGGGCAGCAGGGGCTTGGGGAGGGTTGCACAGTGGATGCAGACAGGAGGTGGAGACACAGGTGCGGCCACCCCTTTGAGGGCATTGACAGCCTCGGTCGTGTCCTCCTCCTGTGAGGAAGGACAGCAGCAGCGAAACACCTGTACCATGGGCCCTGCCTCCGTCCCTCAGCATCTACCCACTGTGCTCCCCCTGAGACCTACAGAAGGACCCAGGACTTTCCCTAAGGCTTCCTCTAGGACGACTAGCCTTGTGTCTGTCAGAGTCCTGCCACTTACGTTTTCTCGAGTGTGGCACAGAACGCTGTAATTAAATGAAAACCAATGGCAAGGCGATGTGGAGTGGGAGAGGCTGCGGCAGTGTCTGCCTCCGAGACTCCCCAAGCTGGCACTCCAACGTGACCATGCCTAGGAAAACTTCACACACGTCTGTGAGGACAAATTAATTTGATATTGATGGGAATCACAATGATCAAAAGGAACTTGTCCTCTAACCATGTGGGTGCCAGGTGCACGTCTGAACCAGCTCTGTCACAATCAGTTTTAGTTAAGTGTAGGTTAAAAAGGTAGCTTTATTCTGGGATCTTAGGCTTGTCATTAAAATGTCAGTCCCCTGGAACTCATCCTGGAGGCACCACATAACTTCTGGCTGGAAACAGGCCAGAGTGGCCTGCAGTTAGCAAACATTCCTCCTGCTCTCTGAGCTTCCCTGGGTTTGGGGTGTTGACACTGGGCCACCCTTGTCCTTCTCAGCTTACAGTGACTGCTGCGTGGCTAGCTCAGTTCCAGGTGGATGGTATGCAGAGCGTCTGCGGATTGAATGAATGAATAAATGAGCAAGTGAATGAGTGAATGAACGGATGGGTCTTGTCCTGCCTCCTCTCAGCTCACAAGATTCCGGACACACGGGGAGAGGGCCGGTGGGGGCCTAGGCTGGGCCTGGCACCCTCTGCCGGGGCCTGGAGACGCATGGCAGCCGCTGCGCCGCCTGGAAAGGGGCAGGAGGCCTCGCGGGGGGCAGCATCCCTGCGCTGCCCCTCCTTCAGGAAGAACACCATTCGAGGTGTCTCCCCTCGCTTCCCTCTTTCCGCAACGCTGAGCAACCTCAGGCAGTCCCAGGACAGCTCATGGGTTTTCACTTTGCCAAAGCAGAAGATATCTTTCCTCCGTGGATAAGTGGAATGATGCGTGTTTTCTGTTTTCTCAACTTCAAGACGTGTTTTTAACAGCGTGTTATTTTTCTGCACACTGGTCAGTCACAAGAAACAGAGTGACTGAAAGCAAGAGAACAAGAGTCCTTATTGTTTGCTTTTGTGCCACTGAATATGGAGACTGATTTTGTTCAGCTGGTGGTGAACCCAGGTAAATCATAGGAATCAGTGCAGCTGGAGTGGCTTCCCGGGAGCAGGGATGTCCACTGGCAGCCAGAAAGCTGATGGATGACTCGGATAGCCTTAGCCCTTGCCGTAGTGTGCTACTGGATGTGTAAACAAATGGAGGCTGAGGTGAAAGCCACATGCCTGTCCTACGGGAGGAAACGTGGAGTGCTCCGCCCCCTAGACTCACCGGATGGGGGCTTTATAGCTTCAGCTGTGGCGGACCAGCCTTGTTTTGGGTTTTCACTGCCGCAGGCCAGAACAAGCACCTGGGCCTCGCCCTGAAGCTGGGACACGGAGGGGCACACAGGGAGCCGCCAGGCTCGGCCAGGAGCTCAGTTCCCAGCACAGGGTCAAGGCCTGGGCTTGGGCAGCTTGATGGCTGCTGGCTTCCTGCCAAGGGACTGATGGCTCAGGCTTGGCCTGATACGTACGTTCCGAGCCGCCACCTTTCCTCATCCCTGTTTTTAAGAATTAAAAATAATATTTTAGAAATCTAGTGTACGCAAAGGAAAGAGAAAGACAAAATACTATGTGATCCCAAAGAGACGAGATAAAATGCATGCAGCAAGCACAGGCGTAGGTCACATACCCTATTTATAAATCCTAGGTAAAGTGAGATGCTCCTTAGAATCAAACCCTGTGCCACTGCCATCCTCACCTCTCTTCACAAGAATTAACAGAATGCACTGGTGGTGCAAGCTCAGGACGCGAGGTCGGATGCAGGCCGGAAGGCCAGTGTCTCCACCTGTTTCTCACACCCTTTCCCCACCTGCTCTGCTCAGGCAAAGGACCTGGCCGGTTCCCGTCCACCGGCTCCTGCCCAGGTGTGGCCAGGAGAGGGAGACGAGAGGGTGGAGGAAGGAAGAAACCCAGTGTTTCTCCCTCCGTGTCCAGCTGCTTGGGCTCAGATCTCCGGAAATGACAGAGTCTCCTCCGTGCCTCTGCCTGAGAGGCGTCCCCAGCCTCTCCCCCTCTTGGCTGTGAGTCAGCTCCTGCCCAGCTCATCGCTGGTGGCTCCACTTGCCCTGCTTTGCCTGTCACCCGCCCAGTGCCTTTGCAGTTTGTGCCCCACTGAGCCTGGGCAAGGCCGTCTCCTGACTGTCACCTCCAAAGCCTGTCAAGAGGTGGCTCAGCGGCACAGGCCAGTGGAGCTTAGTGCTGCGTGTCCAGCACACGCATGAATCTCAGCCAGTGATATCACCTTCAGTCTCCTTGGTTTAGATCTCTCCAGTGCATGAGGACGAGAATGACCAAATTCCATCTTTATGAGAGAGAAAATATTTCAAAAAGAAACAGTGGGACATGCAGTCTGTTTGTAATTGTAGCTATTGCCGCAGTTGCCCAGCTGAAAGGTAACTGGAATCGTTGGTCTCACCATGTCCATCCCTTGGGACCCAAATGGACAGCAGGCGGAGCCTGCAGGGGGCACGGACATCTGCTGCCAGCCGACATCCCGTCAGGCCAGAGTCCTCGGAGTGGAACAGTGCCCCGTTCCAGCGCCCGCCTAATCGTGTGCTCATGTGGCTGACTGCCTCGCTTACAAAATAGGGTATTGGCACCCCAAAGCTCCCCTTGACCTAGCAGAAGCCACCAACTGTGACAGTGCATGTGTACCCCACAGCGAGGTCCTGAAGCCTTAACAAGCACGCCGAGCACGTTCCATCAGGAGGCCCTGAGCCAACGGTAGCAGAGAGGAGGCCTGTTGTGCAGCCCTTCTCCAGCTCCCCGGGCTGGGGTGCTGGAGAGCCACTCCCGGCTCCCTGCAGCACACACCCTTTCGAGGGTGCGGAAGCATGTGGAACTTAACGTGCTGAAAATGGAGCTACGCTTCCCTGTCGTCCTCCCGAGCTCTCCTGCCTCAGCGAATGGCTTTGAGCTGAACCCCAGCATCCTCCAGGACCCCTCCGCAGGCCCCATGGCCCCGAGCACACCCAGCCCCTCCTAGTGGACCAGCTGTGCTCTCCTCGCCTCCCTGTCCCACCTTCTCCCTGCCTCCTCCGCTGAGTAGCCAAAGCTATCTTTTTACACCTTTTGTCAAACTGGCCACAGGCGCTACCCGACCAGGCCCTCCCTGGTTTTCCGGCCTCCTTTCTTATTCCAGCAGCGCAGTCGCTGTGGCCTCGGGCAGCTCCTGGAGCACTCCGTGCCTGGCCTTCGAAGGTCTTTCCAAGAGCAGCTCTCTGCCTCCTCCAGTCTTGCTTGGTCCTTCAGCGGTGGAGGCGAGAGCACCTTCTCCAGCAGCCCTGCCTAGCCACCTCTGAAGCACGCTCCACGGCCCGTCGGGAGCCCTTGCCTGCACGGTGCGGGTGGCGGCTCTAAGCTGCTTCCCCTCCCGGCTCTCCTACTTCCACCCTGTGGCAGAGTGGTGCCCGGCGAAGAGTGGGTGAGTGAATGAGTGACTGTGAGCATCAGAGCCCCGACGGCAGAACCTGGGAGGTAGGGGAGGTGAGGCGTGGAAGGGAGTGTCTGGCAACCGACACCCACACTTGGGGCAAGGAGAGGTTTATTTTGGCTCACGACCCACTCCATGGTCAGCGGGCCCCAAAGAAGGAACAGCGTGGCAGAGGGCATGTGGAGGAGCTGCTCTCACCCTGGTGCCAGGAAGCAGGGGGAAGGGAGGGCCCGGGAGACCACCTTCCAGCCACGCCCTCCCACCAGGAACCCAGCCTCCAGGGCCCTCAGGCTTTGGGGACATTGAGCTAGAAACCCCACCGGGTGGGTTCTGGAACCTACTAGCCCAGTGCCGGCACCGTCTGAGTCAGTAAAAGGCCCTGGGATGTCTGCACTGTATTCTGTCCAAATTCGGCTGTTTTCAGGGCATTAGTTGATGGGTGAACCTTGTTCCTAGTGTGTTGATCACATTTTTTAAGGAATATTGCATTGATTCTATGTTGTGTCATGTATTAGTCATAGGTTACAGAGTACCTACTGAGTTTTTAGTAACTTGGTTAAAAGGAAAGTGGATTGTAAGTATCATGAAAGCCACGGGCTGGGACGTGGACTCTTGTGAGGAGTTAAAACTTGTGATGGGGAATCAAGGCCCCCGGACTCTGAGACAAGACAGACCCAGGTCTGTGTGTGGAACCGAAGGGGCCTGGCGTCTTCCTCCAGCCTGGAGGGCCATCCTCGCCACTAGAGGGGGCTGTCAGCCACCTAACGTTCAAAGACGTTTTTCACATGGATCTGAAATGACCGCTTTCTCCCTCCCTCTCTCTCTCTCTCTCTCTCTCTCTCTCTCTCTTTTCTTTTTTTCTTATTTTTGATGTGACTTTTCTTAAACTTAGGATCAGAAAAATACAGAATGAAGGTTTGTGCCCTGATTACTTTTCACAGGGGCAAACCAAGGGCCTGGACAGCCATTCCCTAGTAAATATCCCCAAATTCATGGAATTCAGAGGAAATCATCTGCCACAGCTGCTACCAGGCACCTGCAATCAAGGATTCTTGGAACTATCCACTGCATTTTACTTATGCTTATTGTGCCCTTTGTTCTTCCAAGGTCAAGAAGTGAGCATTAGTTTTCTACACTTGCATTGTAGCAACATCTGGGAAAAGATAAAGCCAGTTTTAGATCAGCTGTAAACTTCTTCCTGGGGTCCTACAAAACTGAGTATTCATGAAATTTGTACCAACAAGTGCATGTGTAGGCATTAATGGATAGGGAGACGCTGACCGCAGGGATTTTTGAGGTGACTCAAGCATGTGAGCCCCCAGTACCCTAAGAAGCTGGGGAAGGCAGGGCTCAGGGTCTTGGGTGGGCTGGTCAGAGTTCATCAGGCTTGAAGCTGACAGACTTCCTGCGTTAGAGCGTGGAGCCGCCAGGCTGAGCCTGCAGGGTCCCACGCCCAGACTGCAACAGGTCAGCTCTTCAGTTTCAGCAACTGTGTCGTCGCTCACAGTCCTGACAACACCTGATTCTGAGCAGATTGGTCCTATTTTACAAACGAAAAGCTAAGAGGTTAGAACGGGCTTCAGATGCACGGATAGCCAGAGTTCCTGATGGCAGGTTTGGCAGTGGGATCCAGTGGGCCAGTGCCACCCCCGCCTTCCCATCGGGAGCAAAGTTCCGCCACGTGGCGGCAGGAGCGAGTCCTGTGTCCTTGCTCCCTTGCCTGTGCTGGGCATCGCCGTGGTAAACACAGGTACCGGGTGCAAGAAGAGCTAGCAGAGCAGGGCTGTGGGGAGCCGTCCCTGTGCCCGCCCACCCCCTTGACGCCCCCTTTCCCCCCAGGACTGCTCTACGTGAGCTTCAGCGCCTGCATGTTCGGGCTCTACAGCTTTATGCCTGTGGTCATCAAGAGGACCAGTGCCACCGCCGTCAACCTCTCTCTGCTCACGGCGGACTTGTACAGCCTGTTCTGCGGGCTCTTTCTGTTCCACTACAAGGTACGTGGGGTCCACTCCACTGTGACACGCAGGGGGCTCTGGGTGCGGGCTGCGGGTGCAGTGTCTGAGGGTGCAGCTCTGTGCTCAGCCCCGCGATGGGGATCCGCATCCGAGCATCAGCCGCGCAGACAGCTGATGACCCATAAACGACTCGCACGCGGCAGGCGCAGGGGAAGAGCTCTCTCCTTTGCCACTCAGCCCAGAAGGTCCTCTCTTTCCAGCCCGGAGTGGGAGATTTGTATAATCCCTAATCCACAGCCGCAAAGGTGGGTTCTCCCAAAGGCCTTGGAAGATGATGTTCTCTCTCTTTTTTTTTTTATTCTTTTATTGGTACATTTTAGGTATGCAGTACATTTACATTTATCATTGGGTGCTTGTCCTGTACATGATGAATCTGGGTTCTTATTTTTTCCCCATTACCTGTGGGCCCTTCACCCCCCTGGATGATGTTCTCTTTGGAGAACACACACAATTCCTGCGGCTTCTACCCTGCAAATGTTACTAGAGCAGATATGAATGGAAATGCGTGCAGCAGGGATGATTTCCTTACTGGAAGATTTGGGCTCAAATAAAGTAATGCAGAGAAATGCTGGGAGGCATTTGCAGTACACGGAGAGGGGAATAATCTGTCTTGCCTCACACTGGCCCTCTCTTGGGGTGCTGGGCCGCACACATCTTCTCCTGGGTGGGCAGGCCAGGCAGGACTGGGAGGCCCCGTGCTGTGCTGCTGACTCCAGGCCCAGCGCGTCCCCTGGCGGTCTGCACTGGCGTGTGAGAGGTGATGCTTGCCAGGCCTTCACCAGTCCGGTATGGGGAGGGTACCTAAGTCCTTGGGAGGACAGGCAGGGGAGGGCAGCAAAGGCAGACACTGCCCGCACTGTGAGCCACTGGTCTCAGAGTCAGGGTCCCAGCGCGGGAGGGTGGCCAGCCGCCTGGGCACCGTGATGGGGAGCGTCCCTTTGACCAGGGGACACTGGGCTCGTGGGCACCTGGAGGAGGGCTGAACTGAGAAGCACAGGCACTGGGGAGTGTGGCAGCCATGGGGAATGACCAGAGTTGTTGCCGGGAAAAGCCGAGTCCTGGCCAAGAAGCAGCAAGGCGAGCACAGCTGGGCTGCTGGGGAGCAGAGACAGCCAGAGCCAGAGAGCTGGGGACAGTTTACAGCGGCCCACGCCTGCCCACACCTGTGCGCCCTCAGTGAACAAATAAAATGTGTGTATTTAGGGTATGCAATGTGGTATTTGGATACAAGCATACATTTTAAATATTTGCCACAATCAAGCTACATTACCACATCCATCACTGAGCACAGGTTGTTTTATTTTACCTTGTTCTCTCTCTCTCTCTCTCTCTCTCCCCCTCTCTCTCCCTCTCTCTCTGTCTCTTCCTCTCTCTGTCTCTCTCTCCCTCTCTCTCCCTCTCTGTCTCTCTCTCTTTCTGTGTGTGTGTGTGTATAGTGAGAATAGTTAAGTAAATCTTGGCACATTTTGAGTATACATCTTCCTTAACTTTAGACATTATGTCTCAGAAACACTCAACTTATAACTGAAACTCCATACCCTTTCTTCCACCACTGTCTCCCCTTCTCCGTCACGAGCTTCTATTTTATTCGGAGACTGTGCCCAGTGTAGTGGCAAAGATGACAGCTGACAGAAACTATGAGGCCTGGATACTGCGTACTGCTTGGGACCTATTTGCCGGTGTGGTATCCTCTGCATGTTCTGAGCTCACCGGGGTCTCGTGGGGACAGAAGTGAGGCGTGTTCCTCGCAGGCTGCTCCTGACCAGTTCTGGGGGACCAGCTTCCCTCAAAAGCCCACTCGTTCTCCAGGCCTGGGGACCCCTCAGCATCGCCTCACCCTGCGGCAGAGTGGCCTGCACTTCCTTTCTCCCTAGTTAGGCATCCACCTCCACCCATTCCTCAGCATGCGTTCAGTTCCTAGCAGTCAACCTGTAACTGGCTCTCTAAGCTCCTGAACTGGAAAAATGCCTTTAATCTCCCTGTAGGAAAGAAGACTAGCATCCACTGTTCTCACTGAGGACTAGGGTCACTTCTTGGGAGTCCAGACCCAGTCCACACTCAGCATCCCCTAGGGCAGCGTTCCCAGACTGGCCACGCCCAGAGCCCCAGAGTCAGCACCTGGGGACTCTGCCCCTTTAAACAGGCTCCCCTAATCTGTGGGTTTGGAAACCACCGGGTCTTGGGGGTCAGGGGCATGTGAACAGTCTGCCATGTCCCACTCTTCCGTTGACTTTGGGGTGGACCAGGGCTCCACAGCCACACGAGATCGGGAACTGAGAAGGCTGATGGGTAGGTGACTGGAATTCTCCACAGCCCACCTGTCCCCTCATTTGCCTGTTACCCTACTTAGCATATATTACTTTGCTGCAGAGAAAAACCACAGTGACCCCTTTACCCATCGGAGGGGAAAATTAAATTCTTGTGTTCACCAGTTTGGAGGTGTGATAGACATATTTGCTTCTTAAACCAGTGCTTTTTATTATATGCATATATTTTGCTACTAGATGGATTTCCTTAAGGTAGGAATTGTTCTAGCACAGCAGGTATCTTTTTCTTGTTAAATTGGCTGCTACTGTCTTTTTGAAAAATTAAACTTTTTAAAAATTAAACTTTAAAGGTAATCGAAGATTCACATGCAGGTCTAAGAAACCATACAGGGATCTCACTCGCCCTTTAGCAAGTGGTAACATCTTGCAAAAGTATAGCACAAAATTAGGATGTAACATTGATGGAGTCCACACCCTAAACACTTCCATCGCCAGAAGAACTGCTCGTGCTCCTTTTTAGTAGCCACGCCTACTTCCTTCTCTTTGAAACCACTGATTTGTTCTCCATTTCCATAAATTTGTCATTTTAAGAATGTTATATAAATGCAATTATACAGTGTGTTAGCTTCTGGGACCGACTTTGGGCACACAGCAGAATTCTTGGAAGAGTCAAACAGGCTGCAGTTCATCTTTTTGTTGCTGAGCAGTACTCCATGGTGTGGATGTACCAGCTTATTGACCAATCCACCTGTGAAGCTGTCTGCTAGAAACCCGTACAGACTTGTTTTGTTCTCTAAAATAAATGCCAATGGCACAGTGACCGGGTGGTGTGTCATTGGCATGCTTTATTTCATGAGAAACTGTTCAGTAGCACCCAGCATGATTTATTGACTTTCACTCCACGGAAGTACATATACACTGTGAGAGCCAGGAAATGCAGGTAGAGCTCTTATACCCTGGCACGCACTCTACTGCGTGTGTACTTTATAGTTCACGTATACTAATTAAAACGTTATTTCTCTGTACATACTTTTGTCACATGCTTTATTTAAATTTAACGTGTATTCATTTCCATGTTCTATGATGTGATTCTAAATGAATGGTTCTCACACCTGGGGATACATTACAATCACTTGGAAAGAATAAAGAATATAAAACACAGCTGTCCACAGATCCTATTCTAGAAAGTCTGATCCTAACTTTTGTTGAGGTAGAATGCTGCTCTGTAGTTCGGCCGGCCTTGGACTCACAGTGTAGCCCAGCCTGGCCTCACACTGGTGGCACCCTCTTCCCTCAGCCTCCCGCGTGCTGGGGTCACAGGTGTGCACGACCACATCCGCCTGATCCTAATTGGGAGTGAGGCTTTTAAAAGCTTTTCAGGTAATTCACTGCATACCCTAATATACAGTCACAATTGAGAACCACTCTTCTACGAGAGGATAGTTACACCTTACACTAGGGCTCTCAACCATGACACCCTAACCACTTCAGACCCGACAACCCCATAGAGGGCTGTCCCCCTCGTTAGAGGACTGTGGCATCTCCCCAGTAATGATGACAAAAAGTGTCTCCACGTGCTGCTGAATATCGAGAACTGTTGATTTAACAACCTTTATCTCTTTTCTGGCTAATGGAATTTGGAGAATTAACTTGTACTAAATCTTTGCTCAAATCCAGTGTTTCAATGCTTTTTAACAGAAATTTAAATAAATTTATATAATTGGGGTTTTCCATTTATAATTGGAAACAAAAGTTTTTTAAAAAATAATTTGAGAATCCTATTTAAAGTAAGTGCGTAGCTGGAGAATTCTGTGTGAAGTGAATAATTTGAGAACCTTCTGCAAAGCCCTGTCACTACTGGAGCCAGCGTCAGGGCGGGAGAGCCCTCCACTTCCCTTCCTTCTGGATCATTGCCTTTCCCCCGCACCACACGGTTTAGTTCTTAAACACGCCTTGTATTATCATCTAATTGTTTTGTGAGCAGTAGTCCTTTGCTTTAATATAAGCAAAGAAATAAGCTAAATACTTGTTTAACTGTAAAAGTTAAAAGTGCTCTTGCCTTAAGCAGTTTCTAAAAGGCTCTTCCCGACTGCCTTGAATTTGTAATCAAAGAGCCCCTGTCCGGAAGTGTGGGGTTTCTTCTCAGTCCCCTGGTGCCTGGCTCTGAGCTTGGCATTGGGGCCACAGAGGAGCCAGCTGGGAGCTATGTGGTCTCGGCAGCCCGTTTCCGACCGCAGCCAGATGGGCCACCTCAGAGCCCTGACTTTTAAATAACTTTTATTGATACATAGTGTGATAAAAAATACAACTAATGTTTAATTTTCAAAAATTTTATTGCAATGACAGACACATTGCCATTAACCCCTTTCAAAAATCTTCTCCCTTATTTTGAACACAATTATTCCATCATTCTTTCTGCTTTCTGCAGCAGCTCTGGAGTCCTCTTTCGTGAGTGTTCTTAGCAGCACTGTGTTGGCTACCTCGATGTCCTGAATAGATTCAAAACACCTGAAGAGGCTTTAAAATAGCGACCACTGCGTCTGCCCTCACTGGTGGGATGGCCCAGGCACCTGACCTTCTTGGCTCCCAAGTGAGTCTGGGGCAGCCAGGCCCAGCCCCAGGCTCGGAGCCAGTAGTGGCGCCAGGACCAGAGGAGCAGCCTGTGAGCCTCCTGCTCGGTATAGAGAAGCGGGGTGGGTGGGTGTGATGCAC